CATACACCCTACCGCGCCTCACACATACACCCTACCGCTTCTCACATACACCCCACCACTCCTCTCACATACACCCTACCCCGCCTCTCGCATACACCCTACCCCGCCTCCCACATACACCCTACCACGCTTCACACATACACCCTACCCCGCCTCTCACATACACCCTATCGCCTCTCACATACACCCTACCACGCTTCACACATACACCCTACCCCGCCTCTCACATACACCCTATCGCCTCTCACATACACCCTACCACGCCTCTCACATACACCCTACCCCGCCTCTCACATACACCCTATCGCCTCTCACATACACCCTACCACGCTTCTCACATACACCCTACCACGCTTCACACATACACCCTACCACGCTTCTCACATACACCATACCCCGCCTCTCACATACACCCTATCGCCCCACACATACACCCTACCACGTTTCACACATATACCCTACCACGCTTCACACATACACCCTACCGCACCTCACACATACACCCTACCACGCCTCTCACATACACCCTATCACTTCTCACTTACACCCCTACAACGCCTCTCTCATACATCCTACCGCACCTCCCACATACACCCTACCACGCTTCACACATACACCATACCCCGCCTCTCACTTACACCCTACCGCACCTCACACATACACCCTACCACGCCTCTCACATACACCCTATCGCTTCTCACTTACACCCCTACAACGCCTCTCTCATACACCCTACCGCACCTCCCACATACACCCTACCGCGCCTCACACATACACCCTACCGCTTCTCACATACACCCCCACCACGCCTCTCACATACACCCTGCCACGCTTCACACATACACCCTACCCCGCCTCTCACATACACCCCTACAACGCATCTCATATACACCCTACCACGCTTCTCACATACACCCTACCATGCTTCACACATACACCCCTACCACGCCTCTCACGTACACCTTGCCACGTTTCACACATACACCCTACCATGCCTCTCACATACACCCACGCCTCCCACATACACCCCGACCACGCCTCTCACATATACCGCTATACCAACCCCTGTTTTTATCAATTGGTTACAACCGTTACATTTCAAAACATATTTTCTTCCAGATGCTAACGGTAATTTTAAGCGAGTATGCTATTATTCAAACTGGGCTCAATACCGCCCAGGGATTGGTTCATTCAAGCCTGAGGACATCGACCCCCATCTGTGTACCCATATCGTGTATGCCTTTGCCAATATGAATACTGACCATGAGATTATTGCTTATGAGTGGAACGATGAATCCACTGACTGGTCGAAGGTAAGAAGCGTAAAAAGGAAATACAACATGTCTCCTTTCTTTTATTTGTATCC